TTCTAAATTGTGAGAGATGGATATAGGAAATAATTAAATGAGAAGGCGGGGATAGATAGATGATTGACAGATGATAGAGATGATAGATCAGTGTTTCTCAACCTTGGCAACTTGAAGATGCCTGGACTTCAACTCCCAGAATCCCCCAGCCAGCATTCGCTGGCTGGGGAATTCTGGGAGTTTAAGTCCAGGCATCTTCAAGTTGCCAAGGTTGAGAAACACTGATCTATCATCTCTATCATCTGTCAATCATCTATCTATCCCCGCCTTCTCATTTAATTATTTCCTATATCCATCTCTCACAATTTAGAAGCTATCCAGCCCCAGGTGACTGTGGGACACTTTCTGAAATTCATGAAAGCCATATGGATCTTGAGGGGGGTGCTAGTCCAGAGTGGGAGGGGCACAGCAAAAGGGAAGGCACCCTTCCTTGATCCCAAAACACAAGAGTGTTTTATTCTGCTCACTCTCATCACATTCATGAAGACGCACCTTGTGTTTCACAAGTACAGGACCATTGCATATCAGTACATCCCCTCCCCCAAACTGGTTTGTGCAGTTGATACATATATCCCATCACACTAATCAGGGGTACCAAACACATCAAGCAATAGGCCAGATTAAAGGGCTAGAAAACACTTAAATTAATTAATTAACTTAACAAATTAAAGCCAGCCTGAGCTTTCATTGAATGTCATATCTAAGTGCTTAGCCATTGCCATGTTCTGGAATTTTTCCTCCTTTAGTCAATAATCTGGGGTTTCCTGGTGGTCTCCGTCCAAGTCCTAACCAGTCACCTTATCTTTCAAGGTCAGCAAAGGTCAAGTAGAAACTGCCACTTGATGTGAAGAGACAGAACAACCCAGTCTGAAACAGTTGTCTCTTTTTCACCATCAAGACATACATTCACCACGATTCCCATCTTCCCCTTCCACCCACATCCTTCCATCCATACCTAAGTCCTCATATAGTTGTTGGTCTAGAAAGATGCTTCTCTTCCCACCAAGCAAACTAGAAGGGCTTTGAGATGTTGCAGGCAGATGCTGCTTCAAGGCCTCTTGTGCCTTGAAGCAGCTTTTGGAGCTTACATCCAAACCATTGTGCAATTAGCAAAAATAGAAAAGCAATTGGAGAAATTTTGGTGAATTTGACATACTTTTTCACCCGTTGCAAACCACATAAAGGCTGCTCTGGACTGTGTCTCACCTACAGGCCAAAGGCTTACATGGTTTCCCCCCATCCTTTATTAAAGTAGCTTAACTCTTCCTCTTATCTGTTTCTTGTCTACTGGATCTGAACTTATGGACTATGTTCTTCTGCAATACCATTTTGACCTTTTATGGGTTCTCTAGCACAGCTTGTTCCTCTATCAATACTTGGGCTTGTGTGTCTTAGTGCAACAACTCTCAATGCATATGTTGTATGTTCTCCACGGAAGATGGATTATAGTTGACAGTTGATAGTTGAGAAGGACATGCCAGTCTGGTTTGGGTCTGTGTCCCTTTGGTGTATGTTTACTGATAAGTTCATTTGTACATTAATATGCATATGTTTTCAAATACAAAAATGCATCTGAATATTTAAATATACTCTTACTGAATTTTCTCCCAATGTTTGTATATTTCCCTGCAAAATATGTTTTATAATCTGTGATACACCTTTCAGTTAAGAACTGTGCTGAACATTTAGAAATGTGAAAGATTTTGTGCATAGCTAGCATATGATTAGCACATTTGTTAGGGATATTAAATGTCTTGTGGAGCATTCAGTTTGAACCCTTTTTTGAGGCAGAGATCTGCCCACTCACCTCAATTCCAAGCCCATTTTTTTCTGCCTAGAACAGCCCAGCTGGTACTCTGAGTATGCAATTTTTGTCAGAGAGGAGGACTTTTCTGGAAACCTCTTCCAACAGTTTTGAGGAGCTGCCATGAACTAAATGAAGCTGGCATCAATATATCATTCATCTTACTGGAGGCTCCGCCCTTGTAATAATACTTCTTTGATTCTCCCCTGAAATGTTGAAGTGGTACAGGATCATGTCCTAAGATTGCAGAGTATGGACAGCAAGGGATTTGCCTGGAATGACCAAGATCTGCCAGTCTTAACGTGGCACGACCAACATTTGGTTATAAAATTTTTTTTGCAGTTGCCAGAGGCAAAGATTAGGCAGGGAAAGTGAATTACAGTATGCCCGTTTGCTGCTAAGGAATGGTGAAGCAGCAGTCCAACTTCTGATTGGAAGTGATGCTTCTCTAACACAAGGTACTACAAATCACAAACTTATGTCTTATCTTTTTAAATTCTTGGAGGGAAAAAAATCATTGTGTGCAAGGGAAATATAGAGTCAGTTCTGATAAACTGTTTATTTTATCAAAGTGTAGAACAATATTAAAATTAGGACAAACGATATCCCGTCAGCACAGAAGTATGACTGTGTTTTGTGCCTCACATTCCTCATGTTGGAATTTAAAAATCCACATAGAGCAGGGGTGTCCAAACTTGGGAACTTTAAGACTTGTGGACTTCGACTCGACATGGCTGGCTGGGGAATTCTGGGAGTTGAAGTCGACAAATCTTAAAGTTCCCAAGTTTGGACACCCCTGACATAGAGACTTCCATTGACAGATTGTGACTTTTAAGAAGACATTTCAGGTGTTTCTTCAGAGCCAACCTTACTTTTTCTTTCTAGGTTAACCAGCAAGACAGGAGTTTGATGAAGCCTCTTTATGAAAGATACAGAATTATAAAGCAGCTTCTATCAGCACCTTCTTTGATTACAACTATTGTAAGTCTCGTGAGGATTGTGTGAAGAAATGCACCACATCAGATGATGTTTCTTGTAGGCTCTCTTCAGGTTGTGTGTTAGCTTTTGTTTTATGCATAAGGGTCTCGTCACTACATTTATTCTTCAGGAAATAAAATCCAGGGAACTTACTTGGACATACTTTCAAATAAGGCTGGATTGGGATCACTGGTTTGTAGTATCAAAGTAATCTCTGCCCAATTCTTAACCGTTATGGATAGTGCATGCTGTTGGTGACCGCTGGGGTGTAGATATAATTGTGGTTACTTGCATGGAGAAAGCCCATTGCTCAGTTATTCTTCTGAAAGAATTTCATTAAAGGCAGTCAGAACTGAAGAAATTTCTTGGGTTTTCAAGGAAAAAGAACCCCAAGAAAGTCCATTTCCCTTTGGAAAAGCATCTTTGGGACATCCATTAAGGATAATTAGTCTCTGAGAACAACAAACATATATCTCAGAAAGTGTTAGACACGGTGCTAAAGTGTGATTTATTTACACTTCTAATAATGAGGACTAAGACTTTTCAGAAATGCCTGCAGCTTCTAACACAAGGAAAGCCTTAGGCAACCAACATTTCTAATACTTGAATAGAAACCAAGCCAGTCTGTTTATTCATATAATTTTTACCCTCTGGAATGAATGTTCTAGTCTCCTTCATATGAACGATGGGTGGGTAGGGAGTGAGGGACCCTGATAACTCTTGTTCCCTGTTCCAAGCAGGAGGAGGAAGATTCTGATGAAGAACCGCAGAGTAGTTCCACTAGGTACCTCTACGGGCCTCTTCAGGCACAGATGGATCACTCGGATGAGGAGAATGAACCCGCCTTAGTTTCACCTCGGGGTGAAAAGAAAGTGATGAAACAGCCAGCCCTCATGTCCAATTTACATGAGGCCACCATGTGAGTGTCAACTTCCCCCTTGTTGAAATGACAATGCACCGGTTGGCATCGGGGATTTTGTTTGTTTATCAATCAAGCGTATTAAATGATAGGAAAGAATAGTGAAAAGAAGTGCCATCATTCACTTTGTTGATTGTGTTCAGAGTGATCATTAGGGCACAATACAAATCTGCACAATTGGTGTAAATTTTATTTATTTATTTTTAATTTGTCAACAAGTACAAGGAAACAAGTATGAAAACGCATGAAAATAAATGGATATAAATAAGCAAAACATAGCCATAAACACATAAAAAGAGTACATATAAATGGGGACAGTAGGAGAGGGATGCTGGGCACGCTGATGCACTTATGCATGCCGCCTTAAAGACCTCTTAAGAAATGTGTAAGGTCCAAGGTAGACAGCTGAAGGTCAAAGGAATGGGTGTTAGAGGAACTAACAACAGGATCAGGTAGGGGGTTCCAGACATTTACTACTCTATTGCTGAAATCGTTTTTCCTGCAGTCAAGATTAGAACGGATTACATTTAGTTTGTATCTATTGATAGTTCTTGTCTTATTGCAGTTGAAGTAAAAGTAGCCATTAACAGGTAGGACAGGACATTGGGGCAGATTATCTTGTGCACTAAGCTCAGATTGGAATGTAGATGGCGTAGTTCAAGATTATCCAGACCTAAAATTTCAAGCCTGGTGGTACGAGCAGTTGAGGAGTTGAGTACTCTTCTTGTAAAATACCTCTGATCCTTCTGTAATGTTTTAATGTCCGAAATGCAGTGTGGGTTCCAGGCAGGTGAACAGCATTCAAGGATAGGTCTGGCAAAGGTTTTGTATGCCTCTGAACTCATCTCCTCCTCCTACCAAGTAATCATAAATACACAACTCATTTTTTTACACAGTTTTGAACTCACTAGGAACTAGATAGGCAATCTTTTCTAAGAAGCAGTTGGGTGCATCCATCTCAAGGAGCGTCTCCAGGGGCAGCCGATCATGCAACATTGCTTGTTTGGGACCCTGATTTGCTCAACCATCCATCCCCTTAGGAGTTTCCCAATCCTTCAGATCTTAAAATTCCAGTTCTTCTTTTGCAGGCCTGTCCTTCTGGATCATCTCAGAGAAACTAGAGCTGACAAGAAAAGGATAAGGAAGGTACTACGGGAATTTGAGGAAGAGTTCTTTAGACAAACAGGAAGGTGAGACAGCTGCGTGCATGTTGAATCTGAATCACGGATGGGCAGATCCTGATTTAAGCCGCTGTAATCCTCCCCCAAATAACGATTCACCACAGGAAGTTTGCAATGGGTTGGAAGAATCACTGCATTGGCTTGTTAGTATTTTCCAGGCTTGCGATAACCGAGAAAGGTATTAATGTTTTCTTCATTGAAACTGGGGTAGATTGCACCAGAGATGGGTTCCTACCAGTACAGTTTGGTTCAGCCATATAGGTAGTAACTCCGGTGGACATGTGACCGTACCGGTTCTATCCTCGGCGGTGCCATATTTATTTTCTGTTCTGCACATGCGCAGAACAATCTTCATTGAAAAAATTTAATTTTGCCCCCTTTTTTTAATGGTGTGCACATGCCAGTCCCATGCCATTTGTTGCAAAAATGGAGGTGTTTTNTTACTTTTAAAGCCCTACATGGTTTAGGACCTGGCTAACTGAGAGACCGCCTCCTGCCACACACCTCCCAACGACCAACAAGATCTCACAGGTTGGGCCTCCTCTGGGTGCTGTCGGCTGGACAATGCCAGCTGGCAGCCCCTAAGGGGAGGGCCTTCTCTGTAGCTGCTCCGGCCCTGTGGAGCGATCTACCTGTAGAGATCCAGACCCTTTCCACTCTCTCGGCCTTCCAAAAAGCCACTAAAACCTGGCTGTTCCGGCAGGCCTGGGACTGTTGATCATTGTCCAGGCCCACCCAGACAGAATGGATGGTGTGTTATTTTAAAAACTGTATTTTTATTCTTAATTTTTAACTTTTTATTTTATCTCTGTAAACTGCCCAGAGTCCCACGGGATTGGGCGGCATACAAATTTATTAAATTTCAATTTCAATTTCAATTTACATCTGCACAATGGGCTTTAAATTATCGTCTTGTAGCCTGTTATCCAAAGGTGAGTTCTGGAAATTCTGAGGTTTAGGTTAGAAACTCTTTGGTTTCTGGTAGAAGCCATGATGAGGTCAATATCATGTTGCATGCTCTGCGTAAAGAGGTGAACATGTCACTTGTGGCATGGTACTACATAACATGTGACAGCACTGGCCCATCCTGTGGTGCTTTTCAAATCAGAGCCATGGCTGTAATCTGGAGCGGGTGAGGACATTGGAACTCAAAGAGTGAGCAAAAGTCTTCATCCTCAAGCCATTAACTGAGCTAGTTGTCTAGGTCAGGAGTCCCCAACTTCTGGGCTACTGCCCACTGCTGGACTGGAAGCTACCGTATTTTTTGGACTATAAGAAGCAACAGTGTATAAGACGCAGATTTTGAACAGGTAAGTAAGAAAAAAAGTTTTTGTTCTCCCTGGCCCTTCAGCAGGACTGGGGGAAGACAAAAACACCCCCATTTTTGCAAAAAATTGGCAGAAAACAGCTGTTTTTCACAAAAATGGAGGTGTTTTTGCCTTTCCCCAGTCCTGCTGAAGCCTGCAGAGTGCTGTTGGGGGCTGGGGGAAGGGAAAAACACCTCCATTTTTGTGAAAAACAGCTGTTTTCTGCCAATTTTTTGCAAAAATGGGGGCGTTTTTGTCTTCCCCCAGTCCTGCTGAAGCCCCAGGGAGAACAAAAACTTTTTTTCTTACTTACCTGTTCAAAATCT